GAGTGTGTGTGTGTGTGTGTGCGAGTGTGTGTGTGTGTGTGTGTGTGAGAGTGTGTGTGTGTGTCTGTGTGAGTGTGTGTGTGTGCGAGTGTGCGAGTGTGTGTGTGTGTGTGTGTGAGTGTGTGTGCGAGTGTGTGCGAGTGTGCGAGTGTGTGTGTGTGTGTGTGTGTGTGTGTGCGTGTGTGCGTGTGTGCGTGTGGAGGGGAAGAGAAGGGGGGCGGATCAAACACGCTCCGCTGGCGGTGCCGCCTGGCCGGCAGAACCAAGAGCGAGCCCTTCCGGGCCGCGGCTGCTGATCCGCACTGCCCGCTGCGTGCGCGGGCGAGCCGCGCGGCATGCGCCCACTGCCACTTGCGAGGGCCGCCTCAAGCGCCCGCACCTGCTGACCCTAGACGCGCGTCCACGCACTATTAATCCCCGTGCTGCACGCACGCCGCCCGCTGCGACCCCACACACCTTCCTTCCCCGCTCCCCGCGCCGCGCCGCGGCCCTGCTTGCAGGTCACCCAGTTAGTCATGACCGGGTCTTGGGGCGGCGCGCAAAGCAAAGAGGCGATAGAGCTCGCCCTCGGCGGATGCAGCCAGGTGCGGGCGGCAATGCGCGATGTGCTGCTCGCGGCGGCGGAGGGGGCGGGGCAGCGGCGGCAGGGGCAGCAGGAGCAGGATCAGGGCGGGACCGCCCCAATGCAAGAGTAATCCAAATGTAGCAAAGCGATTAGTAAGGGGTGTGCCGCCAGGCCAGCATGGTAGCGTGGCAGAAGATGATCCACCTGCAGTGCGCATAAGCGCATCTTATTGGGCCAGCAAGGTGGGGTTGCACGGCCTGTAGGGCGACTGGAATCTCTGGTCCTGACGCTCGGTGCTGAGACGCACATGCTCTGGCCAGCAACTGCCGCGCACAGGAGAGACGAGGGAAAGCTTGCAAATCAATGAGTTCAAGCGTTTTCCATTGCATTATGGGACCGTGCCGCTGTCGCCCGTTCATGATCAGGATGTCGCAAGCGCGTGGCATGGCGCATCCACCCATGGCCATGCCGGTGACCCGCAGGTATCGGGCCCTGTGCGACCAATTTATACCACGAAATCATCCAATCGCGCCTCAGGGGCCCGATGCGACCAATCTCACCCGCGACTTGTGCCCCCCAAATATCTCCGGAGAGCGCATCGCCCGGTCCCCTCTTCAACCATCCCTGCGATGCGAGGCAATCGTAGATTTGTCGCATTGTTGTTTGTAATCGTCGTAGACCATCCCAAGCTCAGAGATTGCCCCCAATGAGCATCAGCGCCCTCCCGCTTGGCGGGCTGGCCTGGCCCCTGAAGCCGCTGGAGATGCCTGAGGGTGTGTTACTGCCCTCAGGCAGCCCTCAGTCCTCGAGCAGCACGCAGGAGCAGCAGCTGGGCGCCCTGAACGTGTTGCCAAGGCTCACAAGGGTCCGGATCACCGGAAACAACAGATGTGCGCCGCGTCTGATTGGGCTGGAGGCCACAGTCAAGCGGGCCAACGGACTTGGAGGCTGGCACTTCCTGTCGGTGAGTGCCTGGGCTGGGTCGGGTCGGGTCGACCAATGCGTCGAAACGCGCCGTGCTGCGCGGACCCCCGGGTGATCCGCTTGCGATTGACTCGCGGAACAAACGCTTCAATCCATTTGCACAGGTCGTGCCCACGGGAGAGGAGATCAAACTCCAGCGGAACGCGCTGCAAGTCCTGGAGCTTGGGCCCGAGGTGCGCGGAGGCCTGAGAGCGAGCGTGCAGTGCGATTGGCGCTGCTTGAGGGATCACATCAAATAACGCGCTCACGCTCTTGCTGCCCACCTGCCGGGCGCCCGCAGGAGTCACAGGAGTCATCGGACGAGGACGAGCCGCTTGTGCGCGAGGCCGTGCCGACTCAGCCGGGTGAGCGTATGCGCGAGCGGCGCGCAGGTGCAGGATTTTCGGCATGGGGTGCAACCCGCATAAGCGGACGGCTCAGCTCACCCATGCGCAGCCGTACCGCAGCAAGGGTGCCACAGTCAGTTGCTGAGCCTGGGGCCTCCACCTGCTACCCACCGACCTCCTAATTGAGTTGCCCTCCCCCCGCTTCTGCCTCCTTCCCACAGAGGTCCTGCACAAGCCCAGGATCCGCCGGCTCCCGCGCCAGCTGTCCCCTGTCCCTGGTGAGCAGCAGGCAGATTGCCTGCGGCCGCGGCGTCTCCGAGCGCAGCCCCTGCCGTCTGCTCGCGACCGCCTCCCTCCCTCCCTGCCTGCAGCTTTCATGGTCTCCGCCCGTAAGCCCCGCCGCGGCCACATCACACCGTACGGTCTCATCATTCCATCAAAAGGCCGACACCCCCCCCCCCTTCCCGCCACCTCTACCAGACATCTTCAAGCCCTCCAGGCCTGCCTCCAGCAGCCCCAGCGGCAGCGGGCGCAGCGGCCACTCCTCCAGGGCCGTGGCCCCCTCGATCCCAGAGGTGCACCCCCGCTCGGCCCGCAGGGGCGACGCGTGCCGGCCAGCCAGCGCCGGCGCCCGCGACGCCGACCGCCTGTGCGCTCGCGAGGTCGCTGCTGCGAAGCTGGACCCACCTCTCATCACACGCCTCTCTTTCTCGCTCTGAAATCAATGCATTCTCACCTCTCGCATCGACGCCCCGGCCCCCCTTGACCCGCGCCGCGCAGTCCCTCGACCTGTCTAAGCT